AGCTGGTCGATGTTTCTCTCTCATCGATGTTTCTAGCTCTCTATCTCTCTCCCTTCCTCCTCTCTGTAAAATATCAATAAAAATATATATATTTTTAAAAACCAATAAAATATATATATTTTTTAAAATGGAGGGAATAGTAAGACCCTGAGGCCGAAATAAATTTGGCAGTTTAGAAAAACGGGAAAGGGATTCTTGTGGTTGGTGCTGACCTGTTCCCCACAGACCCAGAGGGCAGAGCTGGTGTAAGTGGGTGAAAAGTAGAGACTATGAAGAAAGAACTTGACTAAAACCATAACCATCAGCAAGGAAAGGGGCAGCCCTGGGGGGGGACTATCTGGCTCCCAGAGGCCCCTGTGAGCAGAGCCCAGGTCACACCGATTCAGGACTACTGCCCAGAAGATGCCAGGGTTTTATGATCCTTAATCACCCTTTTCTTCCTCTAAAAAATGTTTGCAAAGAAGGCTTTCTTGGTGCTTTGCGAAACCCAGAGGAAACACCCAAACCCTTTTGTTCAGACATGGCCAAATGTCTGACACTGGGCCTGGATGTTTTTTCTTCCTTGCTTCCTGTGTTGCTCCTCTCGGCTCCTCTAGAATGGAAGAAAAGCGATATGCAAAAACTAAATATCAGGGCCAGACAGCCTACCCAGTTTTCCTCCAAGGATAGAACCCCAGACCCCCTATGGTGAATACCAGGAGGTAACTAGAGACCAATTGCTGATTTTTTTCTTTCATGCCTTCATTTAGTCGACTGATATGTATATGTATTCATATGGTTTTGAGGAGATGAACTAATGATGTCATCCCCTGTGTAAAGCCCTTTAATGGCTTCCTGTTGGTCTTTGAACAAAAGCAAAACTCTGTGAGCCTACAAGACCCTGCCTCTCTGGCCTCTATCTCCTTCTGCAGTCTTGTCTCACCCTATAGGACTCTTTGCTTTCTATGCTGTAGTCACTATGACTTTATTTCTTTCGGATTCTCCAGGCTTTCTTGAGCCACAGGGCCTTTGCACATGTTCCCTCTATCTGAAATGTTTTCTTTTGCTCTTTATCTATATATTTCCTCTAATCCTTCAGAACAGGTTCTGGCCAGGTTTACTTCTTCAGAGAAAACCTCATTGATTAGGTGAAAGCCGATAGTCAAAGCTATGCCCTGGCTGTTTTGGCTCAGTGGATAGTGTTGGCCCATGGGCTGAAGGGCCACGGGTTCGATTCCCGGTCAAGGATGCATGTCTTGGTTGCAGGCTCTTAATTGTTTCTTTGTTTTTGGAAGAACAAAAGCTAAAATTCATTTGATTCATTCAGGTTCATTAATAGCCCATTTTGCCCTAGCTGGTTTTTCTCAGTGGTAAGAGCTTTGGCCGGTGGACTAAAGGGTCCTGGGTTCAATTCTGGTCGAAGGTGTTTACCTCAGTTGCAGGTTTAATCCTGTCAGGGCTTGTGTGGGAGGCAACAAATCCATGTCTCTCACATCAATGTTTCTCTCTTTCGGTATCCTCTCCTCCCTTCCACTTCTCTAAAAATCAATAATAAAAAAAAAAAATTCTCAGGTGAGGATTAACAAAAACAAAACACAAAACGAATTCAAGCTTCCATAACCTCGCCTTGGTCTCCATCGGATCCACTTCGTGGACATGTGACTCGTGTAGTCACAGGGTCCTGAGCTTAGAAGAGGCTGGTGCTTGGTGTAGTGCTCTGCTCTCACCATCTTAAATTATCAGCTTTTGAACAAGGGCCCCCACATTTTTATTTTATTTTATTTTAAATATATTTTATTGATGGTTTTTTGTTTTGTTTTTTCCAAGAGAAACATCAAAAGTGCTTTATTCAAAGTAATCTCCATCCCTAGCTACACATTTCTCCCATCTTTCAGGTAATTTGTGGATACCATCCCAATAGAACTTTTCTTGTTTTGAGGCAAACCATTTGGACACCTAATTTTCTACTTCTTCATATGTTTTGAAGTGCTGCTCTGAAAGTGCGTGTGCCATTATTGATGTTTTTACAGAGAGGAAGAGAGAGGGATAGAGAGTTAGAAACATCGATGAGAGAGAATCATCGATCAGCTGCCTCCTGCACACCCCCTACTGGGTATGTGCCCACAACCAACATACATGCCCTTGACCGGAATCGAACCCGGGACCCTTCACTCCACAGGCTGATGCTCTATCCACTGAGCCAAACTGGTTTCGGCGGGCCCCACATTTTTATCTGTACTGCTGCTCCCCAAGCAAGTTACGTAGCTGGTTTTGGTCCTACTTGCAATTTTATGTTTGTTTTCGTGACAGTTTGATTAATGACTTTATCCCTGACTATACTGTGGGCCCTAGAAGGGGCTGTGTTTGTTTTTTATATTTTTACTAGAGGCACAAAATTTGTGCGAGAGTGGGCCTTCCTTCCCCTGGCCGCCGGCACCAGCTTTCCTCTGAAAGGTCGCAGCTTCGTCTGAAAGGTCGTCCGGTCTAATTAGCATATTATGCTTTTATTATTATAGATTCCTATCACCTATCACAGTTCCTAGCATATAGTTGGTGCCCAATAAGTAATTGTTGAGTGGATGAGTGAGAAAGATATTTTCAGGAGGTCAGAGTTTGGTTAGGGGGATAGTGTGTCGTTCACACTACTCCATTTCCTCAAGGACAGAGACAGCGATTCTTCTCCGTTTCCACGGTGTCCATCCGGCCCAGGGCCAGGCAGGAAGGCAAGGGAGGATGGGGCAGGTGACCTTTGACCTAGGCTATGAAGAAAGGAGAAAAAAAGATTAATGGAGCTGAAACTGATTTGGCTTAGTGGATAGAGCATTGGCCTGTGGACTGAAGGGTCCCGGGTTTGATTCCGGTCAGGGGCATGTATCTTGGTTGCGGGCACATCCCCAGTAGGGGGTGTGCAGGAGACAGCTGATCGATGATTCTCTCTCATCGATGTTTCTAACTCCCTGTCTCTCTCTCTTCCTCTCTATAAAAAATCAATAAAGTATTTTTTTTTAAAGAAAAAAGAAAAGATTGATGGAGACAGGTGTTTGGGCATGCCTGAAGGAGTAGCAAAAGCAATGGCATATGTGTGTAATTTAGGAGACAGGCTCCAATGTCTTTGTGTCTCCATCTGTTAGGAGAGGGTATGGGGTGTGTATGTGGGCATATTATGAATTATTAATTCAGGGATTAGATCCCAGAAGTTCTTCATCTGCCCAGGAGTCAACTGCTTTCATGCCCTTTTGTTGTTAATCCTCACCAGATAATATTTTTTCCATTGATATTTAGAAAGAGTGGAAAGGAAGGGGAGAGGAAGTGGAAAGGAAGTGGAAAGGAAGGGCATGTTTGCCTCCCAAACATGCCCTGACCAGGAGGCTAGGGCCTGCAACCAAGGTACGTGCCCTTGACTGGAATTGAACCCACAACCCTTTAGTCTGTGGGCTGACACTAGCCACTGAGCCGAACCAGCTAAATACCACGTGCGGCCGCTCACGTACAGTGCGATTGAAACTTTGTGGCCCAGGCGCAGAAGTCGGTGTTTGGCCTGGGCGAGTCTATTTTGAAGAAAGGGCGTTAGAACACTCAAGGGGCCAAAGAGCCGCATGTGGCTCTCGGTTTGCCGATCACTGAACTAGGGCATGCCTTTTTTTAATCATTCATTTAGCAAACATGCACTGAGTTCCTGCAGTGTAGCAGGCCCTGTTCTAGGTACCAGACCCTGTTCTAGATGCAGCTCTCAGCCCAGGTCAGGGGTCAGAGATCATGAACCCTGAGTCTGGGAGACCATAGCTAAGATACCTCACCTTCCTGTGGAGTTAGAGTCAGACAATGGGAGAGAACCAAAGGAAGTAAAAGAATGGCCAGCCAGGCCAGCCCATGAGGGGTATTGTAAGCCACATTGAGAGTTTTTGTGTTAAAATATTTATTAAATTGATTGGGATGGCATTGGTCAACATGAGCATATAGGTTTCAGGCATGGGTTTCTATGTCATAACTTCTGTATATTGCATGGTGTGCCCACCCCCCAAATGTTGAGGGTTTAAACTTGATCCTTAATAATAGGATGGCATTGAGAGATTTGAAGCACCCATTAAACAACTAATATGTCAGGTTCTGTGCTGGGCGATTTCACACGCTCTAATTTATTTAGTCCTGTTGCTAATCTTCTGACCCTGAATGAATATCCTCATAACCGTTGCACAGATGCGAAAACTACGGTCAGATTCGTATTTCAGAAAGATCATTCTGATTCTACTAGACAGTATGGAGTGGAGGAGGACAGGTGGGAAGCTGGGAGACCATTAGTATGTCAGTAAATGGCCTAAGCCAGGAACTGCAGGGATGGAGAGAAGGGATCAGAGGAGGAATGGACAAGATTTGGTGACTGATTGGACAGGGGTTTAGGGATGCTGTCCAGATGATGCCCAGCACTCTGTCTCAGGTGCCTGGGGTGGAGGACATCCCTGAGATGAGGAACAATGAGACAGGAGGTTTTGGATTCAGATACCAAATTCCATTTTGGATGTCCTAATCAAAACCTGTTTTTGGCCCTAATCGGTTTGGCTCAGTGGATAGAGCTTCAGCCTGCGGACTCAAGGGTCCCAGGTTCGATTCCATTCAAGGGCATGTACCTTGGTTGTGGGCACATACCAAGTAGGGAGTGTGCAGGAGGCAGCTGATTGATGTTTCTCTCTCATCGCTGTTTTTAACTCTCTATCCCTCTTCCTTCCTCTCTGTAAAAAATCAATAAAATAGCCGAAACTGGTTTGGCTCAGTGGATAGAGCGTCGGCCTGTGGACTGAAGGGTCCTGGGTTCGATTCTGGTCAAGGGCATATACATTGGTTGCAGACACATCCCCAGTGGGAGGTGTGCAGGAGGCAGCTGATTGATGTTTCTAACTCTCTATCCCTCTCCCTTCTTCTCTGTAAAAAAATCAATAAAATATATTAAAAACAAGATTATTAATGTTGAAAAAAATCAATAAAATATATTTTTAAAAAACAAAACAAAAAAACTGTTTTTGTCCCAAAACAGGAAGCAAAGAAAAAACCACACCAGCAAGCTCCATGAATTGGCATTGCTGCTACCGCTGGCCCCAAAGACCAAGAAGCTTACTAAGGTACGTGGACCGGAGTGGAGGTGGATTTGGAAGGTAGATTTTAAAATGTCGGTAAGCTGGTTAACTTCCCTTGTCCTGAGAAACCTACTAGTAGACAGACTCTTTCAGTGACAGCACTGAGATGGGACTGGGAATTCCTGGGAGTCTGAGCACATGACTGCAAGATTCTTTCTCACAAAGGAGGCAGGAGGAGCTGGGAGGGGAAAATAGGCAAGGAGCCAGGTAGAGGTCATTGCTTTGGGTTTGAGCCCTCAGCCCCATAACTGCAGAACCCTGGGCAGGTCACGCAGGTTATCAGCCTGTCACGCTTTGTGTTTCTCAGCTGTAAAGTGAATAAAGATAACTCCTTCTACCCAGAGATATTGTGAAGCCAAAATGACGTAATAACCATGACAGGCCCTGAATAAGTGTCAGTTCCCTCCCTGTTCTGTGACCTGTGGGTATCATCTCCACCCGATAGAAACAGACAAAGCTTCTCTGCGTGTCCCCATTGGCTATTCAATTAATGTAGATGGTGCTGAGCTAACACCCCACTCCCAGGGGGAACAACTTATTGGGAGACTCGGAGATCCTGAAGGCTTGGTGTGATGTTTTCTTGCTATAGTTTATCTCGGTCAGTCATTTATCTATTCATTCAGCAGCCATTTTATGGAAAGATTATTGGGTGTCAGAGCTTTTTTTTCCCCCCAGTTTTTATTTTATTTTATTTTTTTTATTGATTATGGTCTCACATAATTGTCCTTATTCCCCCATTCCCATCCCAAACCCCTCCCTAGATATGTCCCCCTCAACCCCTGTTGTCCATGGCCACTGGCTAGGCCCATATGTATGCACTTAAGTCCTTGGTTGATCTCTTCCCCTTACCCCCCTCCTCCCTTACTTTCCCTCTGAGGTTTGAGAGTCTGATCGCTGGTTCTCTTTCTCTGGGTCTGTTTATGCTGTTCATTATTTCCTCTAGATGTGTGAGATCATGTGATCCAAGAAATTGGGTGTCAGAGCTTTTATGATTATGACAAGGAGAGGGAAAGAAATTTGAGACCCAGTCCTCATCCTCTGAGAACTCAGAATTTGGCAGGAAGATAAAGCTTTGAACACAGGAGTAGCTGGTCCCAGCTAGAGCATGCTACTTGCCTCCAGAGAGGGTCAGAGGAGCAGGTGTTTTGGAAAGATTTGCCAAATCCCACCCCTAAGCTTCTCCCTGTCTGCCACATTCCATCAATCCCTAGTCATGTTGCTTCTCCCCCTAAATATCTCTCAGTTGTGGGTGCTTATTTTATTTTATTTTATTTTATTATTATTTTTGTTGTTAATCCTTACCCGAGGATATTTTCCCATTGATCTCTTAGAAAGAGTGGAAAAGAGAGGGAAAGACAGATAAATATCGATGTGAGAGAAACACATACATTGGTTACCCCCTCCATGTGCCCTGACCAGGGAGGATCCTGCAACCCAGGTACATGCCCTTGACCGGAATCAAACCCAGGACCCTTTGGTCCACAGGCTGACACTCTGTCCACTGAACCAAGATGGCTAGGGCCTTATATTAGTTTCTTGTTGCTACTGTAACCAATTACCACAAATTTACTGGTTTAAACCAACACAAGTTTATTCTCCTACAGTTGTGGAGGTCAGAAATCCAAAATTAGTCTCACTGGTCTAAAGGCAGGGTGTCAGCAGACTTGGTTCTTGGAGGCTCCAAGGGAGAACGTGTTTTCTTTCCTTTGCCAACTTCTAGAGGTCACCTATGTCCCTTGGCTCACAGCCCCTCCAGAGCCAGAAGAGTCGTATTTTCAAATCTCCTCTTCTCTCTCTCTGCTTCCGTTGTCATTTCACCTTCTCTGCCTTTGACCTTCCTGCCTCTAGCTTTTAAGAAACCCTTGTGATTATCTCCTGGGCCCACTGAGATAATCCAGAATAACCTCTCCACCTGACGGTCCTAATTCAGTCACATCCAGCACATCTGCCAAGTCCCCTTTGTCATAGAAGGCAACACAATCACGGGTTCTGGGGACGAGGACATGGATGATTTGGGGAGAGGCATTACACAGAACACTATGGTGCTCAAAAATACTGGAGGGGTTTTGTCCTCTGTCAGTCATTGGAGTATTTGCTACACAGAGGCTGTCCTAAGGTCTTGGCAGGAAGGGCAGAGATGTCTGGGACACGGTCCCTGCTCTGGAGGAATGACCTTGTCGTCAGGGGACAGGCCTAATTTTATCACTGACCAGATGGCCACATCTCCTCATGGAATTCTCCCCAGGCCTCAGCCTACTTTCTACTACTTTAATAAGCCCCATCTTCCCCATCTTCATCCTTCCTTAAGTTCAGTCCTGGGACCCTGCTCCACATACAACCTGAGTTCCTGTCAGTCCCCAAACTTCACACTTGAGCAGTCTGCTTAAAGTACATCACAGTTCCTCAGGGCTATGTGACCTGCTCAGTCTGCTGCTTGGGGAACTAATGTGGGCCATCATGTGTGGCCTCTCCTGCGTCTGAGACAGACTGTAGGTTAGATCTGTGACACCCTAACGCACCATTCTGGCTGGTTAAGAGCCCCCTGCCCTGTATGATGCTGTAGCTTCTTCCTCTGGCCACCAAAGCCTTCAGCATATTACTGCTTGTTTTCGTATCTCCTATCCCCTTTACGTGAAGAGTTCTCGGATGGCAAGGACCATAATAGATAAATCTCTATCCCCATTACCCCACAGGGCCTAGCATAGAGCAGATAATAACCATTGAACAATTGATCCCAATGGACTGAGAGTTCTAGGTGTCAGACCCTGAATGCCAAATGTTTTATGTACATTTTCTTACTTAATCCTCCCCACAAGGCTTTTTTGAGATGCATATGTTTATGCTCATTTTTTGGTTTGAGGAAACTGAAGCACAGAGTGGTCATATTGTGCAGAGGAGAGAGGCAGTGAGAGAGAGGCAGATGTGTCTCTTTCCAAAGGTCCACATCCTCAACCATTCTGTCAATCAGTGCTCAATAGATGTTCATTGAATGAATGAATGAATGAATGAATGAATGAATGAATTTCATCTGTTGAGGAAGTTGCATCTTATCCTCCGAAGATCTCTGGTATTTGAACCTTTGGTGCAGTTCCCAAAAGAAATTTTAATTGCTGAGCCTCTGTCCTGAAATCAGAGATGAGGCCCAATACCTTCCTGCATAAAACCTTTATACTAGTAATAATAAGTAACATTTTATATTACTTTACGGTTTACAAAGACTTCAGCTTAATGAGTGCCCAACTTGTGCCAATCCTGGTGTTGGAGATACTAAGATAAAAACTTAGTATCTGCTCTGGAAAAAAACCCTGGTCTAGTTATAAAAAGTTAGAAAAGGTTCTCATTTAATCCCCTGAGAACTTACTGAAAGTACTCTCCTTGTCATCAACTAAACATTTATTAGGCAACTAACATATCAGGCTCTGTGTTGGCAATTTCACACACACTAATTTATTTACTCCTAATGATAATCCCCTGAGCCTGAGAGAGCATCTCATCCCCATTGCACAGATCAGTAAACTGAGGCTCAAAGAAGTAAAACAACTGCTCCCAGTAAACAGCCAGGAAGTGGCAGATTGGAACCAGGCCCTTCCAAAGTAATAGTCCCTTGCTTATGTCACATGTATTCCTTAGTTAGATCATAGCTTCCTTTCGTGAATCAGGTTAAATAATTTCAGTGTCTGCTGTATCATGTTTTATGGAACGGTTTCACATAAGTCCCCTCTAGAGACCATGTTTGGGTTTGGAAGATTACTACTAATGGCTTTATTGTTATTCTTAGGGGTCCAGTACGATCCAAAAAATACTTATTGCCAAAACCGGTTTGGCTCAGTGGTAGAGCGTCGGTCTGTGGACTGAAGGGTCCCGAGTTCTATTCCGGTCAAGGGCATGTACATTGGTTGCGGGCACATCCCTGGTAGGGGGTGTGCAAGAGGCAGCTGGTCGATGTTTCTCTCTCATTGATGTTTCTAGCTCTCTATCCCTCTCTCCTCCTCTCTGTAAAAAATCAATAAAATATATTTTTAAAAAATACTTATTAATATTCTTCCCTCATGTCTTGATGAGGCTAACTTCTTCATTCTTCAGGTCTCAATTTAAATGCTGCTGCTTCCAAGGGGACTTTCTGGACATCTAAGTTTAATTGCAGAATCCCTTGCTATACTCTTTTATTCATAACTAGAGGCCCAGTGCACGAATTCATGCATAGGTGGGGTCCCTCGGCCTGGCCCAGTCCTGATCAGAGCTGGCTGGCCTGGAGGAGGGACTGAGGGAAGTTGGCCTGCTGCAGGAGGTTGTCATTGGGCACCTGCCTCCTGGTGGTTATTGCACATCACAGCAACCGGTCAACCTGTTGTTCGGTCAACTGGCTGTAATAGTTGCTTAGGCTTTTATATATATAGATACTTAATGATAATTTTGTATGATTTATGAGTTTATTAATAACTACTGTCCTCACTATAGGGTAAGTTCCATGAAGGAAAACAAAAATATGTCTAGGTCCTCCTTACATGCTTGGCCCTTAGTGGGAAGTAGTCTTTTTTTGTTTATTTTGTTAATCCTCACCAGAAGAGATTTTTCCACTGATTTTTAGGGAGAGTGGAAGAGAGAGGGAAAGATAGAGAGAAACATTGATGTGAGAGAAATACATCAATTGGTAGCCTCCTGCAGGTGCCCTAGCCAGGGTAGGACCATACAACCAAGGTAAGTGCCCTTGACCAGAATTGAACCCGGTACCATTTGGTCTGCAGGCTGATGCTCTACCACTGAGCCAAACTGGCTAGGGCAGGAGTAGCTTCAATGCCAATACCAATACTAATACCGATGCCCATACAAATCAATGTTTTGTGGCCGGACGGGTGATGCCTGGTGGGCAGGAGCCTTCGCACTTGGTGCTGTGGGGGAGATTCACTGCTTCAGCAGTCATTGGCTGAGCCACCTCTCGGTTCTGTGTGCCTGAGATATAGAAATCAACTAGTTACAGTCTCTACCCTCAGCTAATCCAAGGTCAGTGGAAGAGAATGATGTGTAAACAGATAATTATAAGACAGTGTGGCAAGTGCCTTGGTGGAATCAGGCCCAGGGTGTTATAAGAGTGCCTAGGAGGGACCTCTGACCCAGCGTGGGCGAGAGGGGTGGGGAAGGAGGGAAAGCTTCTGGAAGCTCAAAGGAGGAGATGCCGGGGAGGGAGTATGTGGGAAGAAGAGGAAGGCTTTGCAGAAAGACAAAGCAGCGTGTGCAAAGGGCCGGGGTGGGAAGCTGAACAGTGTGTGCAAAACTGGACCTGGGTTTAGATCCCAGCCTGGCCATGTCCTCTCTGTAACCTTCGTAAATGCTGTGACACTCTGAGCCTCAGTTTCCTTACTTGTATCGCTACCTTGCTGAGCCACAATGAGAACTAAAGAGCAAAATAGGAACGTGTCTGTGAATGGAGGAATTGTTGGGGTGGGGATTGGGGTCCTGGAGCCTTTCTGCCGCTGGTCTCTGGCAGCTTCTCGTTGTCTCGGGCCCCCTCTCTTGTGCGTAACCCCGTCTTTCTTTGATGGGCAGAAGGAGATTCTGCAGTACATCCTGCACTACATTCAGTACCTCCAGAGGCACATCGATGTGGCCAAGGCTTTGCTCAAATTCCACGCCATCAATGGGGAAGGTGGAGCTGGGGGTAAGTCTGTTTCCCAGGGCCTGCTACGTAAGCATTGTCCTGCTGTCAGGGACCCTGAGTGCCTTCAGCCATCCCAGGCCCTCCAGGATCACACAGCCTCGCACAGGGGCACAGTCAGAGGAGGGTGCCTGGGAAGACTGAGGGGGGAGGGGTCTTGGCGCTGGGCCTTTGAGGACAGTAGAAGGGGGAGCCCTGCCAAGTTGAAGAAACAATCTGAGCAAGAGCGTGCAGGCATGAGAAGACATGTGTGGAATGTTCGGGGACCGCCAAGCAGATGGGTGTGGTTGAGGGGCCATGTAACATTGGAAGGACAAGTGCAGGCTCTTGAGCCAGATCCTGACTTAGATACACGTTTCCATAGCCTCTCTGTGCTTCTGTTTCCTCCTCTGCAAAACGGGACTAAGTCTAGTACTTCCCTCCTGTGTTTGTCGTGAAGACTAAATGAGTTAATACAAGAAGAGAGCATTGTTGCCCAAAGCCTAGAACACGCCAGTCATCCAGTACTGGATGTGCTGGGTGCTGGCATTGCTGGTGTAGAACATACACAGGCAAGAAGGGTAGGAAAGAGGAAGAAACAAGAGCCAGAAGGGCTTCGAGCACCTGCCTGAGGCGGGAGATGAGGATGGACTTACTGATGGACTTTCAGCCAGGGCAGCCAGGATCAGGTTTTTGCAGGGTTGGTTTTTTTGTTTTTGTTTTGTTTTGTTTTATTTTGTTTTTTTAATGTTCTCTGTGAAGATCTTTGACATATTTTATTTTATTTTTTAATATATTTTATTTATTTTTTACAGAGAGGAAAGGAGAGAGATAGAGAGTCAGAAACATCCATGAGAGAGAAACATCCATCAGCTGCCTCCTGCACACCCCCTCCTGGGGATGTGCCCGCAACCAAGGTACATGCCCTTGACCGGAATCGAACCTGGGACCTTTCAGCCCGGAGGCTGACGCTCTATCCAATGAGCCATCTTTGACATATTTTAAGTATATTTTTTATTGATTCAGAGAGGAAGGGAGAGGAAGAAAGATAGAAACATCAATGATGAGAGAGAATAATTGATCAGCTGCCTCCTCCATGCCCCCTACTGAGGACCGAGCCAAAAACCTGGACATGTACCCTGGCCAGGAATCGAACCAGTGACCTCTTGGTTCCTGGGTTGATGCTCAACCACTGAGCCACACTCGGCTGGGCTGCAGGGTTTTTGTTGTTGTTTTTGTTTTGTTTTTCAGAAAGAGGTCCCCAACATTTAGTGTGGAGGATTGGTTATTAGGTGAGAAACTAGAGTCAGGGAGATATCAGTGAACATACGTTCAGGAATGGTCCAGTCAGGAGACAATGCAGCTCCATCTGGCATGACAGCTGAGTGTAGACAGAAGAGGGAACATCTGGGAGATGTTAACGGGGAAGAACTGAGAGGCTGAGGGAGACCTAGTGACCAGGATGGGTGGTGGAACCCTCGCTGTCTTGAGGAAGGTGGGAGGAGGAATTGGTTTGGGGTGGGGGAAATGGGGGCCAGTTTGGGAAGCACTGAGTCTGTCTTCCCTCTGCCAAGGCCCAGAATGGCCTGGGGAAGCCCCAGTGTTCGCCCTGCACCTTTGTCTGACTGCAGCCTCAGCCAAGTCTGATCTCCTCCCGTGGACTGGGGCGGACCACCCGTGCCCTGCCTTCACTGGGAGGCATTGTCTGGAAGGGAGGATTTGGGAGGACACGACCTCTCTCCTTCTTTGTCCTGTGCAGGGCTGGGCCGGAACGCCACTGTGGGCTCAGCAAGGCAGAGACACGTCACCCCATCCGGCTGCCCACACTCTTGTCAGTCGGGCTTTGGGGGAACCTGTCGGAAACCTAGGAAGAAGAAGCTGACCCGAGCATCAGGTACAAGCTGTCAGTGGAGGCAGACAGGAAGTTGGGTTCAGATGGAAGTGGGGCTCCTTCTCTGGGGTCGTCATACCCCTCGGAGGCCCAGTCAGCAATCCTGAGCCCCTAACGAGGCTTCAGAGTCAGACACGCCTGGGTTCAATTTCTGGCTCCACTTCTTACTAGCTCTGAGGCGGGGGTGCACTGTCCTCTGAGCCTCATCCTCCTCATCTGGAAATTGCAGTGCCTGCCACAGGGAGGTCATGAGGATTAGGAGCCTGAAAATGTATCACTTAAGCAATGCTTAAGTGGAGAGGCATATGCCAGTTCCCAGTGAAGGGAAGCTACTGTCAGCGTTTATTGTCTTTATGGCCAGTCACCCACCCCCGGCCAGAGAATCAGGGAGCATGCACAGCAGGGAGGAGAGACCTAAGAGTGAAAGACCAGTGTCCTGGGTCCAGCCTCAGCCTTTCGACATGTCCTCTCCCTTTTGCGGGCCTCGGTTTCCATGCCTTTGAAATGGGAGTTGGACCTAGTCAGTGATTTCAGCCCTGGCTGCACATCTGAATCATCCACTTGCCTTAAAAAGTGCCTGTGCCTGTGTCTCACATCAGAAGGTCGGGTTTCCGTGGTCTGAGGTGCAAGCGGGGCTTCCATCTTTTTTCTGATCTGGCAAGATGATTCCAGCCTATTAGCAAGGGAAGAGAATGTCAGACTATGGCCTGTAACTAAGGACCCAGGCTTATCCAGGAGGCCCAGAACCCTTGTTGCTGTCTGGCCCTGGACAAGCCCAAGATGCAGGTGACCCCTCCCCCAGACCAGAGGGGAGGAAACGCGAAGGGGCCGGCACTCCTCCAAGATGCTGCATTGTCTTTGCCTTAAGGTGATAGAAATGGAGGAAGGTCCTGGCTGACATTGCTGGATGTGGCTAAGAACAGCGTTACTGTGACATTCAAGCTGGTCTCACCATTCATTTAGCCAGGCACTTGTACACCCCTTATTAGGCATCCCCAACATCCAGACACAGCCCTGGTTAGATGGGTTGTCAACGCCTCTCACCCCATACAGCTATGGTCTCTTTCCCAGTTTTCTGTTCCCTTCAGGATCTGCTGTGGGTGTGAGGGCGGAACAGAGTCAGTGCCACCCTTGTGTGAGGGCTGCAAGTGGCAGAACTCTAGGGACTCCCTGTCTCTGTACCAGCTTCAAAAGGCGTGATGGCTCACTCAGCAGAGTCAGGCGAGAAAGTGGGCAAGGGAAGACATGGCCTGAGCCAGTCCACCTGTTCATTCAGCCCTTACTCTCTAAGCACCGCCTCAGCCAGGCCATGTGCTGGGTGCTGGGACAGTCCAGTGAAGGAGTCACACACTATCACTGATGGTCCAGAGTGGTCCCAGCCTCCTGGGGTTGTCCAGGGAGTGTGAGGGCCCCAGAGGAGGCGCCTGGCCTACCTGGGGAGGGAGGGCTTCCCAGTTTGGCTAGTTATGTGGCTTTGGGCAAGTTACTTAATAGCTCAATGCCTCAGTTTACTTAACTGTAAAATGGGGGTAATAATGGTACTCTTTCACAAAGGGTCAGTGACTAGTATGTAGAATACTTACAACTGTGCTGGCCATGGTAAGCTCTCTGTATTTGTTGGCTATTATCATCTTCATCGCCATTATTCCACTTAAGGATCTTATCTTCCTTACACCTTCTTTTAAAGGAGTGGAGTTCCAGAAACCCAGTGCTGATTTGGGTGGCCCCTGAGCCTCATGCAGAGGTCCCAAAGCTTGAGGTTTTGCCTAGGGTGGGGGAGGGAGGCTGTGGCAGACCCTGGCACCTCTTCATCCCTGCATCCGTGAGTCTGGACTCCATTCCAGACAGAGGAGTGATCATCCTAAATTGCCTCCTCAGGCAAACACAATGTCCAGGATGATGCGCCTTCCCCTGCCTTCCGGACCCAGCAAGAGGCCGAGAAGACCTGTTTTCTCTACAGAACACAGCCGTATCCCAAGTAAGGAAGAGCCGAGGGCTCTAGGTGGAGGAGACTTTGTTTGGTCCTGAATGGCTGAGGGGCAGTGGGAAATGAGGCTGATTTACACCTGATGGTGGCTGTGCCATGAGCACTGCTGTGGGCCTAGCTTTCCACAGGCATCATAAGCTCGAAGGAGAGATGGGCCCCAGCCTCTCACCGGTATCCCTGTCTCCTGTCTCACCCTTCTAAGCCATCCTTACTAGTCACACAAACTTTGACCATGTCAGTTTGTGGCTTAACGCCCTCCCTCCGAGCCCAAATATCTTCATGGGCATTTGAGAACTTCTCTGGCCTCAGCTCACCTTGCCAGCACCCTCTCCTGCCCCTCATCCATGAAACTTACCTTTAACACCTGCAAATACTCCCCCCTCCCCCTGGGAGCCATGCCCTTGCCCCCTCTGGGCTCTTCGTACTCCCATCCCTCTTCCCAGCAAACCTGGTCCCCTCATCTACTTGGAAAACTCTACCTCCTTCAGGCCAAGCTCAGCGCTACCCTCCCTCCGGCCCTGCCCACCTGCCTGACCTCCCCAACCCCCATCACTGTGTGGTCAGTGCCTCATTACAGCTGTCTCTCCTCACAAACCTTGAAGCTCTATGAGGACAGCGCCTCAAGCTGACTAAACTTGCTGCCCCCAGCTCTCCCCAGCAGCCAGCATGGAGCGATCCCTGTCTTACCTCACAGTGGGCAACACTGAGCTACCCAACGGGGAGACAGCTCACTCAGGGGCACAGCAATTCCCAGCCCAGGGCTCCGGCTCTGCCTCTTGAATTCCACCTCTTGCAGGTACGAGCTGGTGTTCTACGATTCCAGTGAGGAGATGGACAAGGACGCCCCAGACCCTTGGCTTCCTGCCTGGACCCCAGAGGGCAGCCCTGATGGTGACTGGAACTCTGTCTCTCTTCCTTGCAGGCTGGTGTGGGGCCTTCTTGGTACCTGCCTTCTGAGGCTTTCAGTAGAAGGGGGAAAGTGGGAAGGTGACTAGATGTCCGCTAAGCACAGGAATGGCAAGCACACAGTCACTAGCCATTGGTTGCCATGGCAGATATTGTTAATCAAGCATCACTGCTTCTGGTGATCCCAGACACTACCTCAGAGTTCTTCTTCTTTTTTTAAAAAAAATATATATTTTATTGATTTTTCACAGAGAGGAAGGGAGAGAGATAGAGAGCTAGAAACGTCGATGAGAGAGAAACATCGACCAGCTGCCTCTTGCACACCCCCTACTGGGGATGTGCCCACAACTCAGGTACATGCCCTTGACCTGATTCGAATCTGGGACCTTTCAGTCCGCAGACCGATTCTCTACCATTGAGCCAAACCGGTTTCGGCTCAGAGTTCTTCTTAACACAGCTCCAGGTAGTGCAATCATTCTGTCAGATCTGTCACATTACGATACTGACTAGAGGCCCGATACACGAAATTCGTGCAAAAGTGGGCCTTCCTTCCCCCGGCTGCCGGCCCGGCTTCCCGCTGGCACCGGGACCCGGGCTTCCCTCGCAGCCCCAGCTTCATCTGGAAGGTCATCCAGAAGGCCATCCGGTCTAATTAGCATATTATGCTTTTATTATTATAGATTTTATTTTTATTGTTTTGCCCTCCCTGGTAGAATGACAGGCATTGTGCCTTTTTAATTTCCTTCACCAAGCACTCAAAATGAGCAGTTGACAGTCATCTTTCCCCAGTGTCTGGCACCACCTCCTCAAAGCCAGCTGGGGCAGAGGGCAATCTGTGACCACATGCCAAGCTTGATGTTTCCTTTTCAGGAAGCCCACTGGCCTTGGGGCCTCCCCAGATTGACAACTGGAGTGCGACGGGCCAACCGAGCGAGATCCTAGGTCTCAGTCCTTCCCTCTTCAGCTCCCCAGGGAAACTGCTGACAGAACAGTTCTTGGAGGACGGCAGCGACTACCTGACCCAAGGTGAGCATGCAGGGCTGGACCTGACCCTTGGTTCATTCAGAAAACACACGGTGATGCCCACCGAGTAAGTGTGCAGCCTTGTGCTGGGCAGTGCTGGATGCCCAGGGAGGAATGCTGTCCGGTCCTGCCTCGAAGAGCCCCTAGCCTAGTGGAATGTGGGGAGCCCCAGGCCAGCGTGGGGAGCAGGAGGCTCCACAAGCCTGCAGCAGAGACCAACTCCCTCTGCCTAGGGTGGAGGTGGCCCCAGGGAGCGGCCTGGGAGCTAGATTTGAATATGGCGGAGGAGATCCCGAAACCTAGGGAGTGGCACAGAGCCCTGGTGCCATGAGGGAGCCATTTTCATACCAACCTCTGGCTTCCCTCCCGGACAGCTCTCTTTGAAGAAGTTTTCTTAGATCCTGTGTCTTCACCTTCTGCCTGCGGGCTGGACGTCCCACTGGAGAAGGTAGGCATCTCTCCACCCCTCCATCCACAGGAACGGCCGTCCTGCTTTCCATGAGTCACTCACCTGCTCAATTCACTCATCCATCCCTTCAACGTTTCCAGAGACTCATCTGCTCATCCTTTGAATGTTCACTGTTGGCCACCAGGCGCCCACCCCATGCTGGGCACTTGGAATGAACTAGACAAAAGGGATGAGAGCTAAAAGGCTGTCAGGGCCTGGCTGGTGTGGCTCAGTGGTTGAGCATCAGCCCACAAACCAGGAGGTTGAGTTTCAATTCCTGGTCAGGGCACATGCTCAGGTTGTGGGCTGGTCCCCAGTAGGGGGCGTGCAGGAGGCAGCCGATCAATGATTCTCTCTCACAATTGATGTTTCTCTCTATCCCACTCCCTTCCTCTCTCTAAAAATCAATAAAAATACACTTTTTTTTTTTTAAACTGCTAGGTGCCCATAAAAGACCCCACATAATATTACAACTGCCCTATGAAACCAGCGTCTCTGGGGCCCCCATTTTGACAGAAAATAGATGAGCAACCTCAGGAATCCCCAGTTGGAAAGAGCTTCCTCCCAAGCCCCACCCTGACCTCTGTCACCACCGTCTGCTCCTGGGGTTCGCTGTCCATCTGACAAAGGGGCAGCCCTCACCCTGGTCCCCAAAACATTCTTCCTCCAGCGTGTGTGGGCGGGGGGCATGCCTCAATGAGCAGTTGAATGGGAGTAGTAGGGAAATAGATGCCCTTAGCGGAGGCTTCAGTAAGTGCCAGGCACTGTGCTAGGTGCTTCTCAGCCCTGCAAGACATGCAGTGAGACTGGTCTGTAGATGACACTGATGCCCGGGACATCATGGCTACCAGGCGAGGCGGTAACTGATGAGATTAAGAGATATTGCCCCCAAATTAGGCAGAAGAGCTGAGCCCAATAGAGTCCCCCTCTGACCCCTGAGGGAACTTGGGAACATTTGTTTGAATGTCCAGAGGGTGTTTGGATGAGGCGGTCTTGAATCTGATACGTTTCTCACGCTCATTTCCTAGGAAAGCAGTGAGCTGGAGCATGAAGGGACACGGATGTCTGCTCACATCCCCTCCCAGGGCACACCCGCCGAGCTCCCCGAAGACCTTTGTGACTCCCACAGCCTGTGCCTGTCCTCGGCGTCACTGGGCCACCTCTCGCTGAGTGAGGACAGTTCTGAGGGCCTGGTCACCGACATGGACACCGAGCTGGTGTGGAGGCAGCAGGTGAGGGGGACAGCCATTGAGGTGGGTCCCGCTTCTCCTGCCAGCTCTCATCTCTCTGCCCCCACCCAGGACAACCCTGCGGACCCAAAGTCCGCCAGCGACGAGGATGGAGACCGCACATGGACCCCCACCCGGCGGGCGTCCGCCTTGCCCGCTGCCAGGAGGAAGGGCAGGAGGGCCCGGGCAGACGGCCGCCCCGTGAAGCTCAAGAACAAGAAAGCCCCCTGCTCCACGCAGCCAAAGAAGAAGTGTGTCAATGGCTTCATCATGTTCTGTAGGATGAACCGGAAGCAGTACATCCGGTGGGTCCTCTTTGGCTGCCCGCCTCTCAGAGCATGTTGCCCGCTGCTAGCTGACCCATGGGCACTGTCCTCAGCCACACATTCCCCCAGAAAATGGCTTACATAACCCAAAAAAAGACAGGGGTAGATTAGGTGCCGATGTGGGCCCAAGCGCCCACAAGGTGCTGTCTGGAGTCCTTGTCCCTTTCTTGGTGTCACTCTCTCCAGATGGCTTCCGCCTCAGGCAGGGGGGGGCCGGCTGGGCAAGGCCAGTCCTGGAAGGTCCAGGCTCATGATGTCCTAGCCCCATCCTAGCAGCCTTGTGGGAGGAGAGCTCCTCACTCCTAAGATTGCAAGACAAAGTTCTTGGGTCCGACTTGGTAGATCAGGAGCCCAACCCAGAACCCATCATTGCCAGCCTGAAGCCGGGGGGTGGGAGGCCCCCCAGCCACAGGGGAGAAGAGCTGGTGCCTTACCGGAAGATGCAGGGCTGGTATTGGGAGCAGTGGATACAGGGGGCGTCTTTCCAACAACCATTTAGTCAGCGCCCCCTTTTGATGCCTCAGCTCCAGGGTGTGTAATAGGGTCCTTTCAAGGTATCTAACCCAGGAGGGCACGGGTCAGGTCAGAGCTGGGTCTCTGCCCACACAGGCCTCCCCTTACCGCCTCCCTCCTGTCCCAGAGCCTGCCCGGGCACTGCATCCACAACTGCCACCAAACAGCTGGCCCAGCTCTGGCGGGAGATGACGGAGCAGGAGCGGAGACCGTACAGGTGAGCAGCCCAGCGGCCTGCTGGAGCGGAGGGCCTCCCTCCACGCCTCCCCCGGCGTGGCTGTCAGAGCCTTGAGTTTCGTGAGATTGGAAACAGGCTGGGAGCTTCCTGGGGAGAGAGTTTGGATGTTGCAAACTTTTATGAAATATTTGGGGTGACAGGTTGAAAGGTGCTCTACCTTGGAGCTTAGAAGGACAAGTACCTTAATTGGGATTGGCCCCACTGCCCTAAATTTCCTTTGCCCTCTCTGCCGCAGGGCATTTCTCAGAGCAGGAAGCAGGAAACTGGGTCTCCCCTTTCACTTGGCCCCCTCCCTCTTCACCCCCTGCTTCTGGAAACCACCTCCTCTTCACCTGCCTGTTTCCCAGCTGGCCCTCAGTGTGCAGAGACTGACAGGAGTGTGGGGCTTCAGCAAAGTGCCCCTATGGAGTCCCGTTATATAGACCGGGCCAGGGGCTCCCCGCCCTGTGGGGCCAGGGAAAGCCCTGCCTCCCTTCCAGCTCAGGCCCTGGCCGCTGCGGGCCGGAGCACTGTGGTGAGGCACCGCCCGCCCACTGCCTCTCCCCCCAGCATCAAAGCGCGAAGGTTCAGCCGCCAGCACAATCGGATTGTGAAGCAGGAAAGCTCCAGCAGCGAGGATGAGGACTGGGGGGTGCCCAAGCCCTTCTACCAGCTGCTGGCGGACCGGGCCCAGGGTGCCTCACAGCCCGCCGCTCAGCTGCCTTCTCGCCACAGATGAGCCGTAACCACTTCACCTCTCCTCCCCACCTGCTGCTCCGCGACCGCGACCCGTTGGAAACCTTGAGCCAGTGAGGAAGAGGTTGCCCCCTCCTGGGCCTCACCCTGCTGGGCAGGTCTCCTTGGCCAGTTCCCAGGCTGGGAGGGGGCTTATTGACCGCAGGGTTTGTGTGTTTGCCTTTATGTGGGCAGCGGAGCTCTGCCCTTCTCGCAGCTCCTTTCTTCCCCGGGGAAGGAAGCTCTGGATGAAATGAGGGAGAAGCTGAGGAGCTGGGACTCCCCTCTGACCTGCCTTTGTCTACCCCAGAATCAAATGGTTTCAACCCCGTTCATTCTCACCTTATCCTACTCCTCCCTCCCCTGTTCTATTTATAGGTTATTTATTGTTGCCAACAAAATAAAGTGGAACCCTTGTTACCAGCAAGGGAGACTAGGCAGGCGGCCCTGGTCCCCCCCCCCTCACCCCCACCCGCACCCCTGCCCCCGCTCCAGCAGCCCTGGGGGCGCGCCTTCCACCTGGATCTGGAGGCCCCGGGGCCGCAGTTTGAAAGGAAACACTCTCCCTCCGCACCACAAACCTGATTGCCACCCTGGCCCCTCAGGGCGCAGGGATCAGAAAGCCAGAATCTGGAATTGGGTTTTGTGTGGCTGTTTTGCTTTGGGAAAGTTGTTTGGAAAGTAACCCAAACTCCTGGAGCTTTTAGTTGCCTGTTAACTTTATTTTAATGAAATGTAGGCATAACATGTCCTAGAAAAATAAAGATTTAGGATACAAACTAGACACGGGGGTCAAGGCTGCCCCTCGGGGGAGGGGATCTTTGGTCTGGGGCTGGACGCCATGAAGGGGAACCCCGCCCAGGCCTCCCCACACCTGCATCGTGCTGCAGCTGGAAGAGCCCAGCTGGGAGGCTGTCCGTCCCCGGGCCAGCACTGCCCGTCCTCCACCAGATTTCCAGGCTGTTCTGAGAACTCTGGAGGTCAGAGGAGCTATTAATAGTGTTTTCAGGAGTGATAGGGAGAGGGCTCAAGGGGGTTGCAAATCCAGCCATTCTGCAGGGTTTTCAGCTCACGGCTCGTACCAGGTCAAGGGGGGCAGAGCCCCTGAGTCAGGACCCCCCAGATCTCCCCACATATATGGGGCAGAATGAGGAAGGGCTGTAACAGAGGCGGCTTCCCATCCAGAGGGACGGTGCCCGTGGACAGAGGTGAGCCCCGCACGTCCAGGGCCTGGAGGTTAAGCAGCCGGGAGAGGGTGTAGTGTATGTGGAACCTTCAGATCAACAACTGTTCCTGAAAGGTTCCCTGCTCCCAGCTGTCCTGGATCTCAAGCACCATTGTCCGGAGAGGCGAGAGGCCTGGCGGGTCACAGTTCCAGGGGCTCTTCCACGGGCACCGACTGCAGCTGGGTCAGGACCTTGGTCTCAGCTTCCAGCCCCTCCTGCACCTCGCCCCCTGCTGTGGCCCCCAGGAGCAGCCCCTCGGGGTCAGGGTCCGGGAGCCTCAGCACAGCGTGGGGGGCCTGTGTCCCCAGCCCCTTCTCCGCTTCTAGCAGCCCCTCTGTGCCTGTGCTCAGTTCCAGGCCCGAAGGCCAGATGGGCACGGCTGCAGGTGACAGCATGAGGCCTTCGGGTGGGGGCGCCGGGAAGCCAGCCAGGAGGCAGGAGGAGTCTGGGGAGAAGGGCAGGCTGGCAGCAATGGTGGCGGCAGGGGCAGCTGGTGGCTGTGGCAGCTGCTGGGCAGAAAGGGCGCCGAGGGCGTGGGCCTCTGGGAGAGCGGGGCTGGGGGCCACGGGGAGGGCTCCTTCGGGCACTGAGATGGCCGCGTCTGGCTTCAGGGGCAGGGCCAGGCTGGGGGCGGGCGGCAGGACCTGGGAGACCAGCATGCTGGTGGGGAAGGTGGCAGTGAGGATGATCTTGCCCTGCTGCACGGCCACACCCGTCACGATGGGGCTGCCAGACACGGGGTTGGCCAGGAGGAAGTTTCCTGTGGGGAGAGACGCGGAGGCACAGGGTTAGAGGGGGCTGCTGGCCGGGAGCAGAGGTGGCAGTTAAGCTGCTGGAAGGCGAGAGGAGGGAGATTAGCCAGAGGCAAACCGATCCCCTCGGAGTGGGATTAAGTCTGGGTGGTTTGAGCCTCCCTACGACCTGGCACAAAGGGGTTCTGGGACATAACAGGGATGAGCTACCCTAACCCAAGCCCACCAACAGCACTCTTCCTCCCTGAGACAACCACCCCCCCAACCCAGGCTGGACGGAGGCAGAAGGGGTACCTGGGGCCGTGGCCGGAGGCAGCTGCAGGGCCGTCACGCCCACCCCGGAGTTTATCAGATGCACATTAGCAGGGCCCGCTGCAGCCGCCACCTTCACGGGGCTGCCTGGCCCAGCTGCCAACAGCTGCAGTGGCCCCACAGCTTGTGGCAGAGTCACCACCTGGGAGGTGGGCACCACCTGGGGCAGATTCAATAGCGGGGAGGTGGGGCCCAGGCCTGCAGGGTACCCAGGGGGTGGGGAAAGGGGCACCACTTGGGGAGCAGCCACAGAAGCCACTGGGCCTGGGGGCAGAGGAAAGGCGGCAGCCGGCGGGGGCCCAGGCACCACCTGGGGCAGAGGCGCTGGCACCTCCTCTCCAGGCGGTCCCAACGCAGCCGCCACCGGGGGCCCCTTGGTCTCCGGGGCCTCAGGCTGAGCTTCCTCCAGTCGAACCTCCCCGGTCTGAGGGTCCAGGACCAAGGAGGCCTTGCCCTCGCTGGGCCCCGTGGGGCTAGGCTGTGGTGGCGGGGCGCCCCCACCCCCTGTGAGCAGCAGGGGGCCCAGGCCGGAGGCTTCCCCCAGGGCCAGGCTGTTGATGATGACGGGACTCCCGTTGAGAAGCACGGCTGGTGAGCTGCTGGCGGCCAGGAAACTCCCATTCACCAGGATGGAGGAGGAGGCAGGACATGGCGCAGGCGGGGCGGCCCCAGCCAGGAATATGGAGCCCTGGGCAGGGGCCTCCGCTGCCGCCACTGGAGCCACCCCCCTCTCCAGGTCCTCAGGGCTGCGGCTGGACTCATCCTCAGTGGCGGGGTTCCCGTCAGACTCGCTGTGCAGAGAGAGGATTGTGAGCGGCGGCCCTGAATGCTGGTCCCCCCACGGGCCAGCCAGCTGCCCGCACAGAGCTGCAGGAGCCTCCCCATCTTTCCCAGCCCAAACTTTTGGGAACAATGGGGGGATGCTGGTGGGGGAGGATGAAGCCTCCTCTCTGAGACCACCTAAGGACCCCATGGGCAGAGCCTCTGCAAGCTCTGCAAGGGCATCACTGCATAAAAGCCAAAGCTGCCCGAATCCGGAGTGAGGAGGCCAGAGCAGGGAGCACCCAGGCTGCCGGTCCGGGGTCAGACTGAAAGCAGCCCGAAGGCTGCGGAGAGCCGGGAGGTGGCCGCCAGCTCGGCCCTCGGTGCCCTCCCAGGGCGTCAGAGGCGGGAGGGAGGGAGAGGCTGGCGTGCTGGGTGGGAGGGGAAGGGCTTGGGTTACAGGGAAACCGGAGCTGGGGAAGGTTCACGTTTCACAACAAAGACAGACGACCGACCACGCCGTTTGGGCCCCGGAGGGGGCGGGGGGGGGGCGGGGAAGGATGAGTGAGAAAGCCGGGGTCGGGGCAGGACCGGGCAGCGCAGCGGCCAGAAAGAAGCCCCGAAGCCGAAGCCGGGTGCGGGAACAAAGGCCCCTCCCTCTTTCCCGGAGCCCCCTTTTCTCACTGTCTCCCAGCCTAGCCTACTCGGATGGGGATCCAGGATGGGGTCCTGAGTGGAGCAGAGGGAGAAGCGGCCGGGACGTGTGCCCGTGGCATCCGCACTGTCCCTCCCGCCCGGCGGGCGCCGGAGGGAGGGCGTGAGCGGGAGGCGCCGGAGGAGTTGGCGCCGGCTCCAGGAGGGGGCTGGTGGGCAGCAGGCTCCCGGGGGAGCGGGCCCCGCGCTGCCCGGGTCCCCTCACCTCTTGCAGGGCGCGCCGCCGCCGCCCCCGGTCCGGTCGCGCTGCCGCCGGTTCTTGAACCAGTTGCTGACCTGCGTGAGCGAGAGGCCGGTGAGCGCGGCCAGGCGGCGCTTCTCGTCCGGCGTGGGGTAGCGGTTGCCGCGGTAGCAGGCCTTGAGCGCGGCGCGGGAGCGCTCCTTGAAGCAGTAGACGGTCTCCTCGCCGTCCCAGATGGTCTTGGGCAGCGGGAACTTCTTCCGCAGCCGGTACTTGTCCACGGCGCCCAGCGCGCGGCCGCGGGCCCGCTCGGCCTCGTGGTAGCGCGCGCGCAGGTAGAGGTCCTGCAGGAAGGCGTGGTGGGCCGCGGGGAAGGGGCGGCTCTCCAGCAGCCGGTACAGCTCGGCGTACTCGCCCCGCTGGAAGGCCACCAGGGCCCGGGCGCGCAGCACCGGGTCGCTGCCACGTAGGCGCTCGGCCGGGGGCAGCGCTCCCAGGAAGCGGCTCAGGCGGCCGGCGTGGCCCGCCTGGAGCAGCGCCTCGCAGACGCACGCCACCTGCTCCGGCGAGAAGCGGAGGCCCGTGGGCGGCTCGGCAGCGGCCTCGAGGGGCGACCCGGGAACGCCCGGGGACCCCGGGCCCTCCGCTCCCGCCGCCGCGTCGCCCGCCCCGGCCCCGGCCGCCGCCGCCGCCTCACCCTCGGCCGCCTGCAGCGTCTGCAGGAGCTGGCGCGCTTCCTCCTCCTCCTCTTCGGCCGCCGCCGCGGCCACCGCCTCCCCCCCTGCAGCCGGCCCCGCGCTCGGCTCGGCAGGCAAGGTAGCCATGTTTTGCAACTTTGGGAAGTTCCTCCCTCCTTCTCCTCCTCCCTCGGGCTTTCCCCAGCCCCCTCCCCCGCCCGTCCCCCCACGCCACCCCCCCCCCCCGTTCGCGCTTCCCGGTCTTCTCCCCCTGTCCAGCCTGCGAACCCCCCAGTGCCTGGCCCCGCGCCTCAGTAGGGTCTCCCAGGATCTGTGTGTGCCCGTCCCCCCCTCCTCGTCTGTCCGTGACTCTCCCTTTGTTTTCCCTTCGCCTCAGGCCGCTCTTTTGGCCTCCCCCCGCGTGTGCCTCTTGCTCAGGGCCTCAGTTTCCCATCGGGACAACGGAGAAGGTAACGGGCCGTCCGGGAGGGCTAAGGGCGCGAAGCCACCTCCGCCCCGGGACTGCGCTTCTGCACGCCTCCGTCTCCAGGGTCCTCTGAATGCCCCCACACTCCCCATCTCG